ATAACCTGAATACGTGCCAGGTTTGCAAGAATATTTTCGAACCTGGAAGCGTGTATGTAATACCAATATCCATTTGATAACCGTGATACACACATGCGGGGCTTATTGTAAGTGAAAGTAACCACGGAATGGGCGTGACTCTCCAGACATTCTGAAATGGGTTGCTGGATCTCCCACTTTCTAACTCCCGGACTAAAGCTGTGTACAATGGCCATAAATGCGACATTGCAGAGAGAGTTCTTCCATAATAACACTGCCAGCCAGTGGGAGTTAGAGGGAACACACACACACACACACACACAGCAACGCTAGACAGTCGTTCGTTCCCTTACCCCTACGGAAACCAAATTGAGTATCTGAGAGTAGGTTATGCATCTCAACCCATTCGTCCAGGCGAAAAAGGACCATTTTCTCCAACAATTTTCGTATGCACGACAACATCGACGAATTGCAATCTGACGCGGGTTTGCCAGACTTTTTAATTGGCTCTCACCCACCTCCAATCATCCGGAACAATATAGCTCCAGGAACTGACTAAACAAGTTAAACATGCGCCTCTTAGCGATGTCTGGGAGGTTCTCCAACAAGTTGAACTTGATCCTATCAGCCCCCAGAGCCGAATTGCCACACGAAAGGAGCGCGAGTGAGAGCTCCAGCATTGAGTAAGGTTGACTAATCTCGTCTACCAAATTCGTCGTTTCGCGAGGAATCATTTGTGCCGGCACGGAATCAGGACATACTTTTCGCGCGAACTTGAGAATCCAACGAACCGAGTACTCCTCGCTCTCGTTGAGAAGGTTTCCTACAGAAAGACGTTCCTGGAACCGGTCGAGTTTGAGCTTGAAACGCGCTGTCCAAGATCAGATTGGATAGGAACCCTAATAAAAAAAACACCATACCCGAACCATAACCCAAATTATTGAACTATTCCACAAATGGTTGGGATGATACCCAATACAAATTTTATTAGGGAAGTTATATATGGTTATATTCCTCCAACGATGGAAACCCATCTACCGACGTTAGTGCTTCATCTATCACAGTCTTGAACTTTGCCCAATCGATATTACGGGTAAGATCGTTCGCCGACGTTAACGGGTTCCGACGGATTGAACCCACTGGCAACTGAAACTTTAAACGGCAAGTGATCACTACCGTGGGGATCTTGGATCACATTCCACGTGCAATCCAACGATAATGAATTAGAGCAAAGGGTGAGGTCTAATCAAGGCCACACGTGTTATTTCTCCATTGTTAAGAATTTTCATATTGAAGTTGTTACAGAAAACATATAGCAAAGTAGAACCGTTGTCATCATACAGTTCCCCCCCAGCCTTTACCGTGGGAATTAAAATCTCCTATAATCAACCGTGGAGTAGGAATAACTGAACACATAGGGGAAATGACGGCTTCGGCATGCCAGACTATTTTCGGCAACCCAAATTGAAACACTATTTTCACTGGATTTTCTTACGAAAACACTTCGCTGAATGCATGCAAACGATTCTTTATGCTTTCAGCTTCAATTTGACTATATTTTTACCACTGAGAAAAAGCAATCTAGTAGGTTTTTCTTGAAATGAAACACACGCACTACAAATTGTAGCTGATTTCGAGTTGCCGGTAGCTGGGTTGTACCAACAATCAATACGAAACTAACGATTTTAAATTGGCTCACCACTTTAGTAGCCTATTGGTCCCAAGCAAACGATTAACGTACCCTATTCTAGTCGAAATTCTAGTACTACGCAATGTTTGTTTTAATTCGCTATGAAAGTTTGACAGATAAAATGAGGGGTTATTGGTTTTTCCTATGTTTCGAGGGGTGATTCGACAAGCTTGGGACCGAAGATAGTACCAGAGGTGAGCCAAAAAGTTGAGCACGTTTCTTCGGGACCTACTTGTCTTAGAGTTATCTCTATGGTAGAAGCATAGAGGTAACTCTAAGACCACTGGGTCCCGAAGAAAATCATTATTATTTTTGGCTCACTCAGTACCAGAACAACGGTCCCAAGCAGTCCCAAGCTATTTCACTCACCCCTGCATGTTCTGCATGAATCCACACACCCCTGATGTTATCTGTCAAACTTTCATAGCGAATCAAAACAAACATAGTGTAGTAATAGAATTTCAACTAGAATAGGGTACGTTAATCGTTTGCTTGGGACCAATAGGCTACTAAAGTGGTGATCCAATTTAAAATCGTTAGTTTCGTATTGATTGTTGGTAGAAGTCTCCTTTTTTCTACTACTCCTTGATTTGGACTAGCTTGATGTGGGGTTTCTGATCTAAAACTTTCCGCGAACGGATGCGTCTTCGTTTCCGTGCAGAACCTTCCGGAAAACTGAAATGAGTTCCCTCCTCAGCCAAGTCTTGCAATCTGACAAAAGAGAAAAGGGATTTTTGTCGTTGGTCGATGGCGTGGCTGTCTTAAGCATTTCTGAAAAAGACTGCCTGGAACGTTTCTTAAGTGATCGTTGCAGTTTCTACCTGCGTTGTTTGTACACCGGGCACGACGTGAAACCATGAAGAGGAGTTCCTTTGCAGTACACGCATTTTAGTGCAGTAGCTTTACAGGCTACATCCTCATGCTTCTCCACGCATTTAGAACAGCGTTTCGTGCTGCCACAGTGGGAGGCCGTATGTACCTACTGCTTACAGTGTTGGCAGTTCATGACCGGGGAACGAACATGCGCACAGGTAGTCGAAGTTTTCCCAGTTCGATGTAGTGAGGATGGGCTGATCTAGAAAAGGTCACACGAAACGAGCCTGTGAGGGTAAAACCATAGAGGTAACTCTAAGACCAGAAGGTCCCGAAGAAACGTACTCAACTTTTTGACTCAGCTCTGGTACTATCTTGGTCCCAAGCTAATCGATGCACCCCTCGAAACATAGGATAATCTACGAACCCATCATTTTATCTGTCCAACTTTCATAGTGAATCAAAACAAACGTAGTGTAGTACATACTAGAATTTCGACTAGAATGGGATACGTTAATCGATTTGCTTGGGACCAATAGCAACCGGTGGAAACTAACGATTTAAAATTGGCTCACTACTTGACTAGCCTATCGGTCCCAAGCAAAGCAGTACTACACCAGTTAAGATAGGCAGCATGCTACACAGCAAAAAAAATGTAATATCGATCAATGTAATTCAAGTTGATGCATGAAATAATGATGTAATAGCAAAAAGCAGATACAATATTACATCAATGGATGTAATTTTGTTCGCAAAATCGATGTACATCGTACAACGTTATATTACACAAGCGATGGATTGACCTGGTTGCAGCAGTTTGGATGTAATATTCAACAATTTTTTTTTCTGTGTATGATAGTGTGAGTGCACATAGAAAACCCGTGAGGAACGCTACCCGACACATTGCCACAAACGAACCACTTTTTGATTCATCGATTCGTTGGCACTTTCCTTTCTGTTCTGTGCTTTTTTCTGTATAGTTAATGTTATGTTTCGTAATTATAATTTCTTATTGTGTTAGTTGGAAGTGCAAAAAGTCAGGAGAGTAAAAATAATTTGTTGAACTATTTGAGATTTTGCCAAGACGGTCCTCCAACATTATATGTTGGAGATGTTGGACGATGGAATGGTTGGTGTAGCATCCACCGCCATGGATGTATTCGAGCAGTTCGAATGGTCGGATAGTAGTTTTTGTTTGGTTGTTGACTTTCATTTGAAATTTTTACAACATTTAAAGGTTTGTTTTTGGGCTGAAAATAGACAACCCATGAACCAGTCGAGTCATTCGGGTAGGCCCGCGGTCTGGTTAGGATCGTTCTTTATAGAATTTTTAGACTGTTATAAAGAAAATTTCTATGGAATCCCAGAGAGATTATCAAATTGATATTAGAGGAATTCTAAAAAGAACATTCATAAAAAATCCTATGAAAGTACTATGCGAATTTTCAAGTTAGTTAAAACGTAGAACAATTTTGCTGCCTTTGTAATGATTCATTTTACTTAGCGATCCGTTCGGTTCAATTGCATTCGATTTTATGCCTAATTTAAAAGTATAACGCACAAGCGAGACGGTAGGGTGCATCAGGGCATCTTTGAAGTTGTAACTGGACAATGGAGTTGAGTCTAGGAGGGATTGTGTACTGTCATTTAAGATAGTTGCATTTCACTCCAACAGTTGCAATGAATTTGGCGCGCTGTTCTCAAACAAACCATCCCATTGTTTTGTTGGAAGAAGATTCTCTTATTCCCGCGGGTTTCGCGTAAGTGTCTTTGCTTCCGGGCCCGTCCAACCCCTTTTGGCCCTTCATACAGCAGTATGTTGTATGTTGCATGGCAAGACCCAATCTAGAATGGTGGCTTCTGTAGAGAATAGGACAAATATATCGGTTGTTATGCTGACAATCATTAGAGATCGATAGTAGGCGAAATATATCGGTTGAGGTAAAGAAAATGATCGGTGAAATCAATAGTAGGCTAGTTGATAAAAAGGACACAATAAATCAGTCTTAAGAGTGAGTTCGTAACGAACGGAAGCAAAACATAGAAAGTCGTCTGTTTGGTGAAAACTAGAAAAAAGAAAGAAGGTTCCAGATAAAGCCGCTTGGAAATGGATGGTCCAGAAATCGAGTCCGGTCACGACAGCTTCTTACATACAATTTAAATGTATATCGCACAAGCGAGACAATTTCTAGAATTCCGAGAAAAAAATACAATTTTTTTAAATACTTAAAGTTATTCTTCTTTGTTTAAACTGCAAACAGAAATTTCAATTTCGGTGAAATTACAGAGATGTAGTTATGGTTGGCAGGGGTCCTTTTAAACCATGAAAATTACGCCCCTCTTCAAAACATCAGTGATTTTTTATTATTTAACAGCACAGACATTAAAAATTGTAAATCAAACATCGTGGTTGTAATGGGTCATATAATATGGGGGCAAAAATGCCGTCTAAGAAAATGTTCGGCTCTTCATACTTTAAGTCTTGAGATTCATTTAAACCTCACATCATCTTGTACAGCTCATCTACTTTGATCAGAAGACGTACAAACTACCGGAGGCCATCCTAAACCTGTACTCGGATCGAGTTCGTCATCTGGATCTGAGCTACAACAAACTGTCCTCGTTCGAATCGCTGGAACTTTTCACCAAACTCGAAGAACTAGTGCTGGATAACAATTACCTCACGGATGACATCATCTTTCCGGCGCAGTTGGATGGAATCAAACTGTTGTCGTTGAACAATAATAAGGTGAGTGTTACTACCTACTGATGTTTCTGAGACATAATTAACCATGCTTTAACTAAACTCTAAGATGCAACCGAGCACCGATAATTCACCATCAAGTATCTTGTGTTGTCTTATTTTTTTTTTTTATAGTCACTTTAACACTCTTGGGTCATTCGTGACTCCTACGGGGGTGAGATTTGCACCCCTATTCTGCATTTCGTTCAAAACGAAATACACATACAAAAAAATATTTTTTTGTTTATGAATTTCGTTTCGAACGAAATACAGAATAGGGGTGTTGAACTCGTGACTTTGGCGTGAGAAATATGGATGTTAACCACTACGCCGGGGTTGCCCCTGTTGTCTTATTCATTTGTTACAAAGTGTAACAAGTTGTAACTAACGCTTCGGAACCAGTTAGTTATCTTGCTGAAAAACTCGGCTATATACTAGGTACTTGGTAAGACTAGCCTGGAAACAGAATGTTAAAACCAATACGCATTGGTCCATTTGTCCGACCAAGAAGTATATTGATATCTAATCAATATTATTATTAAAAATCTGACCTTTCCGCCACCCAGATCATTCCATGGTGTTTAATTAAACGCTCCTTTCCCTATTGCATTCTTGATAAATGTTGCATCCTGCAGCACGAGCTCGTATCAGTGCAGTGGTTTGATTTTTCCAGTCTCAATTCACTAGCAATTCTGCCTTCGCAAAGAAAGCATTAAAACAGGGTTTACTTTTATATATTTTCAGTTCGAAAATCTGGATCTGCTGCTGACAAAGCTGTCTCTCTGCTTCCCGAATTTGGAATACCTGAGCTTGTTGGGGAATCCAGCCTGTCCGTGCCATTTGCTGAATCTCAAATACTCCGAGTACGATTATCTCAAATATAGGTGAGACAATGACATGGGATTTGACCCAGCGATCAATTCATACCGGCTTTCGTTCCACTAGGTTGTACATTATTCGCTATTTGCCGCGCCTTCGGATCCTGGATGCACAGCGGGTGAAAAAGATGGAACGCGACTTCGTACGCAGCCAGCAGAGTCAGGAATACGAGGAAGAGGAGAACACCAGCCGGAAGGGTAACGCCCTGCGGCATTTCTATGCCAGCTTGAGTACGGCCTTAGGTGTCCGACCGAAGGAACCACCGGTGTACCATCCACTGCCGGAGAGTATCCGCGAGGCGGGCGACCATCGGGGAGCTTACGGGAAGTGCCGCTATCGCTACATCGGGGCACAATCCGAGGGAAATCGGTTTATACTCAATACGGATTTATGAGTATTTTTATGCATTGTATTTGTAGGTATCATTTTTACACAGATTGATCATAATCATTATAATTAAGGTAATAGTTATTTTGTATATGTGGATCATTATTTGGTGGAACTTAAGAGAAACATAAGTGGGAACGTGAGCAACTTCTGGTAGGAGTTCTAAATCTAGTGTTTGCCAATTCCTGTCATATCCTGGATATTTTTGATGAGATAGGCATTGTACTCCTTGTGATTAAGGGATGTGGCTGCGACAGCGGTGGTCTTGTTCCGTGCTGAGTCTCCGTAGAATTCGACCTTTGTTCGCAGCTTGAAGACGTAGTTCTTGAAGCTTATCGCAGAGAAGATTTGTTCGGCTTCCTCTTTGTTGAATTCTAGGGCATCGCCGATTTCCTGGGATGTTTTCCCCAACAGCTGTTCGGCCAGATCCGAGAACACCGTGATCCATCGGTTGGAAGTCCAATCGCCAACCAACATCTGAAAGAATACAATTTATCAGGGACACAAATCCTCGATGGCAAGATTTGCAAATACTTACACTGACCAGCAACCGATACTTAAAATTGGGGAAATCGGCATTGCATTTTTCACACCTGTACTGTCCGTTCTCTTGATCAACGACTTTCTTGTTACACTCTGGCTGTGGGCAAGCTTTGTAGACCGCATTACTGGACTTGACACTATGAATGAGAGCTTTCACCTGGAAATAATCCGGCTTATCGCCATTGCCCAGGTTCTTTTCCTTAGCCTCGTGGAATGTTATCCATTCGGTTGTATAGCCAGATCCGGCTCCCGTGCGAGTCGAAACACTGCTAACGACATTATCACACCCACCATTATCATACCAGCCGCGAACCTTGTGAGCAGCTTCGATATCGGGATTCATCTTCATGACACTGCCAGCGACCAGTCCAAGCGATTTGCCTCCCCCAAATTCGGTCACTCGAGCTCCCTTGATCACGATTACCGGATTGGTGGAAGCGGGGAAGTTCTGTGCATCATCACCCCACAAAGTCAACTGTACGGCCGCATTGCTTGAATCGACCACTGTGACCTCTCGCTTCTTCAGCTCCCGTCCGGATGATCTAGCTGTGAATTGCAGCACATCTCCGGCTTCCTTACAAATACCGACTACATCGATCACGGCATTTGGTTCCATGTTGCCAATCCCGGAAATCGGCACAAAGTTGTACTGAATCGTCGGCATGGAAGAACATGCATCTTTGCACTCCTGCACAATCGTATCGTTTGTCATGGTCATCTCGTAATCGTTCTTTAAGGTCGAGAATTGCTTATTGGCCGGTTTCAGCTGACACTTTGTAATGTAGTAAACCTTATCAGCTTCGATCATATCGTAGAACTTATCACATTGGTCCTTAAAGGCCGTGACACGAATTTCACCCGATTCATCCATAATGTCCATGGAGAACAACTTACCCTCACCCTTGGCATTGCTCCAGGTACGAATTGCCGATTTCGACATGACACGCGCTCTGATGACCCACTTGTTCTGGTACGGGCTCAGCGAATTGATAGGATGAGTCAGGGTATCCTGGAGCGACATGCTACCACCACCGGACGGGGCACTTCCCATTCCTCCAGCCGGTCGGTTCTGATAATTAGATCCGTTACTAAAAAAAAAATATTTCGTACTAAACATTCCACAAAACAAATCCTTCCAAACCCTACCTGACACTTCCGGCAGATTCCGACCGGGTGGGGGCAGCCGATGTCGACGCAGAGCCAGCACTGCCACCAGCACCCGTTTCAGTCAACGGTTGCGGATTGCCAATCTTCTCCCCAATCGACGCACCCGGCTTGATCACATTCAGTTCCAGAATAATCAACACCCGTTTCTCGCCACGTTCATTCCGGTTCACAACCGATGTAATGTACCGGTCAATCCGGATCACGGTGTACTCAGCCAGCTGACCATTTTGATGCAGCTCGTTCAGCTGCGTTGCCAACATGGCAAAACTGTACAGATTCTGACCATCGGAAATCAGCAGCCGATAGCGTTCCGATTGTTCACCGCCACCGGCGATACGTTTGGAACCCAGAATCTGGACCACCGGTTTCTCCAGTTCTGTTCCACGCATGATATCCTAACATTTAAAACATCAGTTTTTATCAAATCAAAGTGAAAGAACAAAAAACTACTTACGGCAATACAGCCCGTGGTTAACAATCCGCTGAAACTCATGTTAGCTATCTATTCCTGTTCGTTCCTGAATGAAACCAATAAATCCGATTGATCCGCAGTTGTTTTGTTCAAGCCGTTTCCAAAATACTTTTAACGGAATTTTTACCAGCTGCAGACGTTCGAAATAAATAATAGTTTGATTCCGTGAAACAATTTCTTATAAAAACACGAAAAATCCTGAATTATTTCCAAGATTATTCCACATAAGATGGTCACTGTTTGAACTGTGAACAGAATGTTTACAAAGTGCGCACAGTGCGCGGGAATTTTTGAACGTCAAGCGTTATTTGCGTGTTTGTTGAGCGCTTTTCGTTCTTCCAGGGGGTGATGCAGTCTACTGATTTTGTTTAGATTAGGTCAACTCAAGGCAGGGATGCCAGATTTAAAAACATGGCTTCCTTTTGAAGTCTTTTGAATGAGCGAATCCAATACACGGATAGAAACCTCCTTATACCTTTTGGCAAATTTCTATTGCTGATTATTCATAAAATGTATAAGTCAAGTAATAAGCAGACGCCTTGCAAAAAGTTAATGAAGATCATATGTCAAATGAAATGTATGAGCGGTCACACATACCTTTTATGCATTCTTTTTTTTTTTTATCTAGTTCGTTTATTTGGAAGGCTCAATCGCGTTAGCTTTACGGAGCCGATAATTCATTGTTCACTGTGTGTAACAAAATTCACTTAATTCTATGTCTAGTACGAGTTGGGCCGATTACTCGCGGCTTACTCGAGGTTAGAAGGGTACATTTTCGAAGGATAGGATCAGGGGAGGAGCTTGGGGTAGGGTTTCGTTGTCTCATCAGAGCGTTGTCGCCAGTATGAACGGTAGTGCTGTTCTAGCTTCGTCCGGAGTTCGACCGGCTATGGTGGGTGACCAGTGGGCGACGATGAGACTCATCGAGACGGGGGGACAAGACAAACAAAAACTAATAAAGAGAGACAAAAGACAAAAGGAATTAAATTCTTATACTAGACATTTGAAGAAAAACATAAACGGACTGCATATAGCAGAGATCACGGGTTGCCAACACGTCTCTGATAGGAACATAGGGTTGTCTTCCTTGGGCCTCGAGGGTATTCAAAAGTCGCTCTCTGGCGGCGTCATTATCCGTACATTGCCAAACTGCGTGTTCGATGTCATCGTAACCGTTTCCACACCGACAGATGTTGCTGTCCACGAGGTTTATTCTATTGAGATGAGCATCTAGCGAGTAGTGGTTGGACATAAGTCTACTCATCACGCGAATGAAGTCACGACTTAAGCCCAAGCCTTTAAACCACGCTCTCGAAGAAACATTAGGAATAATTGAATGTAACCACCGTCCAAGATTTCCAGTGTCCCAATCGGTTTGCCAACTCGAAAAGGTACTCTGACGCACTAAATGGTAAAATTCATCGTGTGAAATTTGCCTGTCATACAATTCGCCTTCCTGCGCGCCCACCTTTGCGAGAGAGTCCGCCTTCTCATTGCCTGGGATTGAGCAATGTGAGGGGACCCATACAAAGGTAATCATATATGATCTTTCGACCAGCACACACATCTGCTCCCTTACCTTTGAAAGGAAATAAGATGAGTGCCTACCTTGTTTCATCGACCGAATAGCCTCAATCGAACTGAGACTATCCGAGAAGATGAAGTAATGGTCTGTGGGCATATTGGAAATCATCCCCAATGCGAAGTTGATTGCTGCCAGCTCAGCAACAAAAACGGAACAAGGTTCCTGAAGTTTGCGGAAGGCGCTAGAGTTTTCATTGAAGACACCGAAGCCAGTGGATCCATTGAGACGGGACCCGTCTGTAAAATATCTTTTCATGCAATTGACTTGTTGGTACTTTTCAGTAAAAATACGTGGGATAATAATAGGTCGAAGTTGATCTGGAATCCCATGAGTTGCTTGTTTCATGGTCAGATCATATTCAATTGAGGAACTGCGATTGGTGAAGTGAACACGGTCTGGAGTATAACAAGGAAGACACATATCTGATGATATGTAGTGGTGGTAGATTCTCATAAATCGAGATTGTGTGTTCAACCCAAGAATTTCTTCAAAATTAGCAATTATAAGTGTGTTCGTCACTCCGCATTTGATTAGTATTCTGAGAGAGAGCTCCCAGAAACGGTTCTGGAGGGGTGTTACTCCTGCCAGAACCTCGAGACTCATGTTATGCGTTGAGTGCATACAGCCTAGAGCAATACGCAGACAACGATATTGAATTCGTTCCAATTTTATTAGGTGACTTTTTCTTGCCGAGAGAAAGCAGAAAGAGCCGTACTCTAGAACAGAGAGAATAGTTGTTTTATAAAGCGTTATGAGGTCTCCCGGATGAGCACCCCACCATGTGCCGCAAATTGAACGGAGAAAGTTGATCCTCTGCTGACATTTTTGCTTCAAATACGTAATATGGGCATTCCAAGTGCACTTTGAATCAAACCAGACCCCAAGGTACTTGAAAGACAATGATTGAGTAATGTTTCTGCCCAAAAGATTAAGATGCATTTGGGCTGGGTACCGCTTTCGAGTAAACACTACCAGTTCAGTTTTCTGCGGCGAGAATTCGATCCCTAGATTCATAGCCCAAGAAGACAAGTTATCTAAGGAATTTTGCAATGGTCCTTGCAAGTCCACGGCATGTGGACCTCTTACGGAAACCACACCGTCATCTGCAAGTTGTCTAAGCGTGCATTGTTCTGCCAAACAGTTGTCGATATCTTTGACATAAAAGTTATAAAGAAGAGGGCTGAGACATGAGCCTTGGGGCAGGCCCATGTAACTAATTCTGGAAGTTGTCAGTTTTCCAAGAGAAAAGTTCATTTGCTTTTCTGACAACAAATTGTACAAGAAATTATTTAAAATTCCAGAAAGTCCACATCTGTGCAGATTGTCTGACAGAATTTCAATGGAAACTGAATCAAAAGCCCCCTTAATGTCCAAGAATACTGAAGCCAATTGCTCCTTGTGTGCAAAGGCCAGTTGAATATCTGTGGAAAGCAGCGCTAGACAATCGTTTGTTCCTTTGCTCTTGCGGAACCCAAACTGTGTATTTGATAGCAAGTTATTTGTTTCGACCCAGTGATCGAGTCTCCGAAGGATCATTTTCTCCAACAATTTCCTAATGCACGAAAGCATAGCAATCGGACGTATGAGTTATGGTCAGACGCTGATTTGCCAGGTTTTTTAATGGCTATTACTTTGACCTGTCTCCATTCAGGCGGTACAATGTTGTTTTCTAGCAAGGAATTGAATAAATCTAGCAAGCGTCTTTTAGCGATATCTGGGAGATTTTTCAGAAGATTGAATTTAATCATATCGCTTCCCGGTGAGGAGTTGTTCGATGAAAGAAGAGCCATAGAGAAATCCAGCATTGAGAATGGTCTATCCAGAGAGCCGCCGCTAGGAGACGCTTCTCGAAGAATATTTTGTGCTGGAACTGAGTCCGGACAGACCTTTTTAGCGAAATCGAATATCCATCGGTTGGAGTATTCTTCACTCTCATTGAAAGATGAGCGGTTACGCATGTTGCGAGCCACCCTCCACAAGGTGTTCATTGAGGTTTCTCGTGAGAGTCCCTCGACGAAATTGCGCCAATAACCGCGTTTTTTTGCTTTGATTAATTGTTTCAGCTTTGTCTCAAGCTTTGAATATTCCTCGAAGTAAGTGGAGGTTTTGTGTCTACGAAAAGCTTTGAAAGCATCAGATTTTTCTACATACAATTTTGTGCATTCTTCGTCCCAACCAGGTGTGGCTGGTCTCCTTTTAAAGGGTGCACTTGGAACTTTTCTTTTTTGTGCTTCCAGTGAGCTTTTGTAAATCAAATCGGCTAGGAATCGATATTCTTCCAATGGTGGAAGCGCATCTATTGATTCGACCCCGATTGTCACCGCCGTTGCATATTTCTGCCAGTCGATGTTCCTTGTAAGATCAAATGGAACCCGAGATGGTTCTGCAGAGTGAGGGCCACACTTTATTGAAATGATGATTGGCAAATGATCGCTACCATGGGGATCATTGATAACCTTCCACTGACAATCCAATGATAGCGATCTTGAACACAAAGATAGGTCGAGTCGGCTTTCTCGAGCCGGAGGTTTTGCTATACGTGTCGCTTCACCAGTGTTCAAAATAGTCAAATTGAAATCGTCACATAAATCGTAAAAAATAGCCGCTCTATTGTCGTCATATAGATCGCCCCACCCAGTACCATGGGAGTTCATATCACCCAGAATTAATACTGGGGATGGAAGAATCGAAACTAGATTCCAGAGTTGACTACGGCTAATGGAGGTTCTTGGTGGAACGTATACTGAAGCTATGTAAAGATCTTTGTTCTTCACATTTATTTGGCAAGTGACGATTTCGACGCCTGATAGAGCAGGAAGGGAAATTTTGTAGAAAGGGTAGCACTTTTTGATCCCTAAAAGTACTCCTCCATAAGAATCGTCTCTATCCAGGCGAATAATGTTAAAATCGTGGAAGTTGAGTTCTTTATCGGAAGAAAGCCATGTTTCACAGAGAGCAAATATATCACAATCAGAATTGTGAAGTAAAAATTTGAACGAGTCTAGTTTAGGCACTAGACTACGGCAGTTCCACTGTAGCACAGTGATCATATCTTCAACCTCGTTCGACGAATTATCCATCGAAAGATATGATTGATGCAAGGAGGGGCCATGAAACAGTCAATTGCTTAAGATATGATTCTAACGTTGGAAGCAAGGCAGAAACTAAGCTTCTTAGAGGGTCTTGTATGTTGAACATGTTTAATATGAATTCCACAATGTCCGAAAAAGCTAGCAAACCTCGTTCGGACTTGGATTTCTTTTGAGAAGTTTGAGGAGCAGCTTTTTTATTTTTTTTATCTTTGTTGGGCAATGGCGGAAAATTCTTGCTGCATCCAGGGATTGGATCAACAGGAGCCTTCGGTTTTGTTTTTTCATCCCCATTACCCTGGAATTTGGCAATCGTCTGGAGGTGACTTTAGTTTTCTTACGGCGCACTTTCGGGGAGGGGCATTTTCTTTTTGAGGAACCGTCTATTTTTGAAGGTGCGTGTACCACCGTAGAATCACCTTCATCGGATGAGTCAGAGTCCGATTCTTCAACTGACAAAACCGAAAATTGGTTTGCATCTTGGACGGCTGATGCAGCCTTCAACATTTGAGCATATGTCTGCTTGGAGCGTCCAGAGATTGAACGCTGCACTTTATCGGAGTGCTGTTTGTACATCGGGCACTCCTGCAAGGGGTGAGGATTCTCGCCACAATAAGCGCATTTTACTGATTCTTTGTGGCAAGAATCCTCTTTGTGGTTTTCACCACATTTGCCACAACGAGTTTTGTTGCCGCAATGGCTGGCCGAGTGTCCCAGTCTTTTGCAGTTGGTACAATTATATACCCTCTGTACAAACAGTCGCACCGGAAAAAAAGCACCATCAATTTTAACAAAGTTTGGGAGAACTGAACCTGCGAAAGTCACCCGGAACGAGTCTGAATGTTTATAAACTTTTTTACCGTCTAGCAAAGATGCTGAATGCAGTTGCCTTACATCCAGTATCTTCACTAGCGCGGTAGCGAATGTCGAGTTTTTAAAAGTTCCCGAGGCATGTTTCAAGTCCTCGACAGTCAGACTCGCGTCGGAGACCACGCCTTCTATCTCCACATCTCGAGAAGGGATGTAGATGTTGTACTCAACACTAAACAACTCGTGATCAGCAATTTTATTTGCCACATCATAAGTCGGTGCTTCTACACGCAGTTTGTTGAATCTTTCTTTGTGTACCAAGATTCCCGGATACTTACGCAGCAAATCTCTCGTTATGTCGAGAGTTTTCAAAGGTTTATTTTTGGGCCGAAAAAAGACAACCCATGGTCCTTTCGAAGACGGTTCATAGTATCTGGTTCGCGTAACGTAGGCATCGGAAGATGCCATAAGTGTTGCGCAAAAGCGGTGCGCAACCACTTAAGAAGGAAAAAAAAATAAAACCTTCACTAATTAATTAATTTTAATTACTAGTAATTAAATTTTTTGCCCGACGTACGAACAAATCAAAAAGAAAAAAAAAAATCGAAACAAAAAAAAAAGCTTATATCTACTTGCAAAAAGTTGTCTCACTATGACCCATACTCCCCTACCAGGGGTGAGAGACAGAGTCACGCGCCTAGAGGCAAAATTAAACTACAATAGGGAGGCAATGGACTTGCAAAATGTATTGTCTAATACTTATGCCGGTTGTAAACAACCTATCAGCCGTTGCAGCTAGATGGTCCGTTTGCTGCTGCTGGTGGTGATGGTTGGTGTTGGTGGGTCGGCACGATGATGGAAAAATGGCTTGACGACCGGATGGATTACCGGGGTGAACTAAAGCTGGATGGCAACTCCAAGGGGCTCGGCCCATGGAATTCCACTTCCTCTGTTGCACACTGGTCACTTGGGGCACCCAATGGGGGGTGAAAAAACCGCTTGGGCGGAAAAAACACCGAAAAAAACTAGATGCCGCGCGACTGAGACCGGGACGTTGTTAACCGACTGAGTGTTCAACTAGGAATGATTTTTATGCATTCTTATTGAAAAATCCAAGTTTCAATCGACCACCGTGACGCTGCAATCGTAGCGGTGATAAGTCCGAAATAATGTGTCAAACTGAATACATTTTTGAAATTTCATCCAAAAAACTATTATTTTCTATTTATTCTAGCGAGTTTCTGTGGAAGTCAAAACATGATCCGAGCAAAAAAGTAGTACTCGTAATAATAGTATATAATGCTGAATTTTATCGTGCTTTGTTTCGAAAATATCTTCCAAATAAACAAACATCATCCAAATCACCCGATTCGCCAACCGACTAAATCTATTGCCACTTGTAATTAATTTTAGTTGGTGTATTAATCAGCATATTAAATCGTTTTTCGTTTGATGATACACCGAGCAATCGGCCTATTTAATAGTTTTTCGTCGAGGGATTTAGTCGGCCGACTTCTTCTTCTGTTTAATCGGCAGATGATTTCAAACCTTAACATGTTTTCTGTAATTTATAAGTCTTATAGTAGCTTTTTATTTAGGGACAATGCATTACAAAATAGTTTTATGCATTTTGTACAAGATTAATCCATTCTAAATAGAAATTTGCATGAAATTACATTGAAATTAATCAATTTTGAAAACAATCCATGAAATTATCAAGGGCTGTCACAAACGTATCACCGTCGGTTAGTGCTTATTCCTGCCACCTGGCGCGCAGGAGTTTAAGTTGGATTTCTCAATAGGACCTATGTGGTTTATCTTATGGAATGTATAAGGCTGATGTTTGGGCAAAAATGTATAAGTGAAACACATGATTAAAATAATTGATTTTCGTTTCGTGTAGAAACTAGGTGACCGTTTCAGTATCTAGTGGTGATGAATAGGAGAACACTCAAAAGAGTGATGAGGTATAGAACAATTTTGCCATGATGACAAGAATCCCAAAACTCGAATCACCATCCAGGAGTCACTGGAGACGGAATGGATGAAGCAGGAAATCAATTCGGCACAGTTCAATTTGGCCAAAATAACACCCTGCGACCCGTACGAACAGAGAAGTACAACGTAGATGCGAATATCTTCTCCAGCCAGACGGGACTGTCTACGTTGCCGCACAGCCTTTCGATGGTGAAGATGACGAACTAACCCACAAACGGTTACCCCGTAACGTGGGTAGATCACCTTTTCGTGGTACGTTACGGGATGTAAGATCTACCACCGATTCCTAGTCCTGACTTCTTCAAACTAGGGGAACAGGATTATTCGGTAATCAAAGGAACACATCTTAGTCCTTGTTACTTTTTATGCCTTGTTGATAGTGATAAGTCCTCGGGTTGATCTTGAAACAAGGAAAAAATGAGTTAGTTAGTCTTCACCTATGTGATTCCTAATCTTCTAATCGTTGTTACCTAGTTTGAAGTGATTAAGACTAGGGTTCTGATTCCTTTTTCATTGTCGGTGTCATAGCTTGTTTTTGTTGTTAAGGAATCCAATTTTGACTGACAAAGACGCCTTTGGAGGGTGTTCCAACTCCGAAGGGTATAAATAGCAGAACCTTTCAGTTAGAATCGATTCCTTGCGATGAAGGCAAGAATGGCAACTGTATCAAAACCGAATACTTCATCATTTCTCAATAGTGATGGAGTAATACGACATGCACTAAACTAAGGACACGGTGTATACTATAATAGATCAAATTACTGATCGCAGTGGTGTTATGTCCCGAACAGAGGGGGAAAAAAATCCACAAACGGTTTGGAGGATACCCCGAACACGTCGTTAAGCAAAATAACCATAACAATTTTATAAGGGCGATCATGTTTCAAATTCTAATGTGTTGTATTATCGTTCAAGTTGAAAATCAGAAAACCCCACACGTGACAATCTATGTTACTTTCGACCTTGCGTCGGACATAGTACAGTACCACACACAGCAAAAAAAAATGTAAAATCGATCAATGTAATCAAATATCGAGTTGGGGACTTTGATGCTCCCTTTCGAAATAAATAAAGGACCTGTGTTGACCTAATGGAGCATTCCACTCTTTTCACTCCAACATAAACAGAAAGTTTGAGCCACCCTGTGAATGTTATGACATTTTTAATTGCCCACGAATCATAACAACCAAAAGGAGGAAAAAAAAATATTGCGTCAACGGGAGATCGAGAGAGAGAGAGAGAGAGAGACAGAGAGCAACAGCAAGGATTTCGCCTTGACGGCAGTGCTGAAGTGACGTTTCTTCATACAAATGTTGACAGTTTCGTATACGATTTTATAATAGTGTGAGAGAATAAGAAAAAGTCCACCATGTTTCACACATAGACTGACAGTTACATACGCAATTTCCCCATAGGAGTAAAGAGTTACACCGCTCGCATCATCGCCAATAGAGAATTTTCGAAAGAAAAACATCAGAAAGTCAATCTCAATCGAGACACGGCCCGTCGTTTCGTCATTGAAGTGCAGCTGCAGGCGAATAAAAGTTTTTGTCAAATTTTGATTCTATCCCTGCTCGCCATCGAAAGTGTGGGTATTTTATATTTGTCTGACTACAATTTTAATTCGCACGTCTATATCAAGGCCAAGTGTATGCGATTTTCATTCGATTCGGTGGTGGTAATCGATTAGTGCCTGTTTTCTTCTCTTGCTTCCGGGGTAACGAACGAGCAGCAGACAAAGGGGTGTGCAGAGGGAATACATCAGCAGCTTTGGAGAGGAGTCACCAGTTCGGGATTCCCTCCGATTGTGATCTTCCCGAGAAGGGACAGGTATGTCATAATTGGGATTTAACTTTCCCATCAGTGCGGAAGATTATAAAATGAACTACGATGTGCTACTGAATCGGACGGGTTTCGGTCGTCTGACGATCAGTCAACACATCAGGAGTATTTCCGAGAGTGAAGGTCAGCAGTCCTTTCGGCAACAGCAGCAGCAGCAACAGAATGAAACTCCTGCTAGGAAGATATCGTCCCAATCCGCTCGGCAGGATGTTGGATCCGGTGCGGGAAGTGTTCGCGGGACTCCTGTCCGATCAGGTTGTGCGGGGGCGGGAAACAGCGGAGAAGAGCTGAAAGGCAAAGTAGAAACAAAGCTTATGACCATGTGGAACAATGTCAAGTTTGGTTGGAGTGGTAAGCTGAAGACTAGCTTCTCGAAGGAACAACCTCTGTGGCTGCTGGGACGATGTTACCATCAGAGGCCACTGCATGGTTCACCGCCGATGGAAAATTCAATGGAGTTGGTGACTGCGACGGTTGAAACGAATCAAATGGTGTTCGAAAGCGTTCAACAGTTGCCATCGGAATTTTTTGGGGAATCGCCTCCGGCAGAGACGGGAACAGATGCAATTGAAGAAAGCAGCCCGGAAGTCGAGATGGAAGACATTGAGGCATTCAAGCGGGATTTCATAACGCGGCTTTGGATGACGTACAGGAAAGAGTTCCAGACGATGGACGACTCGAATTACACGTCCGATTGTGGGTGGGGTTGTATGATTCGGTCGGGGCAAATGCTGCTGGCCCAAGGACTGTTGATTAATTTTCTTGGTCGCAATTGGCGCTGGGATGCATCGGCTGAGAGTTTAAAGTTGAATTACAATTCGTTAAGCTACCAGGACACTATCCACCGGAGGATCATTCGCTGGTTTGGGGATACTTCTTCGAGGACCAGTCCGTTCTCGATTCACACATTGGTTGCACTTGGAAAAGCGTCTGGAAAGAAGCCTGGCGATTGGTATGGTCCCGGTTCGGTAGCACATTTGCTTAGACAAGCGGTCAAACTGGCGGCTCAGGAGATATCCGATCTCGACGGGATTAACGTGTATGTCGCTCAGGATTGTGCAGTTTACATTCAGGACATAATTGACGAGTGTACAGTGTCCACTGCGCCAACCGTTGCCCCGTGGCAGAAGAAGCTGACCTCTGCCAGTAATTCACCTTCTTCATCATCGTCACCTGGTACGAGTACAGCTACCAGCACCACAAACGCCACTGCTGGACCTTCAAGCGCCTCTACCACTTCTGCCTCCGGAGAATCTAGCCACTGGAAGTCGTTGATCCTTTTAGTACCATTACGACTAGGAACGGAAAAGCTAAATCCGATCTACAGCGATTGCCTGAAAGCAATGCTCAGTTTGGAAAATTGCATTGGAATAATCGGCGGTCGTCCAAAGCACTCGTTATACTTTGTTGGATTTCAAGGTACACATGTACTTCTGTTTGCGAGGTTTGTCTGTTCAATAACAATCTTCTCTTTGTTTTCAGAGGACAAACTAATCCACTTGGATCCGCATTACTGCCAGGACATGGTGGACGTGAACCAGGAGAGTTTTCTCGTTTCCTCATTCCACTGCAAATCGCCACGGAAGATGAAACTTAACAAAATGGACCCGAGCTGTTGCATTGGGTTCTACTGTGAAACAAGAGAAGACTTTTTCAAATTCGTCGACAACGTCAAACCGGTGAGTGCGACCTACTAGGTCATTATCTTCAACATAAACACATCAACTGATCCCAACTTCCTTCTAGTTCCTCCAACCGGCCAAGCAACAGATGAGCAACAGTTTCACCAGCTCGACCGGTGTGACACAGTTTCCCGAGGTAACCTATCCGATGTTTGTGTTCTGTCGGGGCAAAAGTAGCGAACAGCAGATGGAACTTCCGCCACGACCCATCTATAGAACGCCACCGGCTCCGCCGCCTCTCACGGCACAAGGGCCCGATGGCATCTCGCAATCCCATCAGCAACTGCCGCAGCCTGATGACGATGACGACGATGACGAAGACGAGGCAATGGAGTTTGTGATTTTGTAGAATTCTCGTCATTGTGTGAGGTAGCAGGTAAGCTGGACCATTCGCGCCAATGATTAATTTTTGCAGCACATTCCGACACCTCCCCATAGCACCAAACAGTTATGCTAACTTTGATTTATTACCCCCAAACCTCGAGAGATACCTGCTGACACATATGAACTATCCGGAATAAAATAGCGGTAGAATGTACTTATAGCGATTGATCATATATAGGAAGATTATACATTATAGGTACATATTAATCAATCATCAACAGAAAGTTTACATTGACGACGTGTGTCTTTGTTTGAAAAATATTCGCGCTCGAGATAAGCTTGATTTTCGACTAAGCAGTAACAAAGCTCCACTGCTAAATCTTTGGCTAGTTTTTTTTTTTTTAAATATACATTAGATGTGCGTATTATTAAAATTTATTTTGACAAATTTTATTTATTTTTTTTACATTATTTATGACGTATGTTTGCTGTACACTGCACCAAATTAAAGTTACTATGAAAAAAGCTTGCTCATTTCAGTTATAAAGACTTACATAATTATTAAAGCCATATCTACTGAACAAACATTTGAAGTTGAATAAGTTCATTTAAGTTTTTATCTAACTTCAAAATGTTTGTTAGCGCCGCGGTTCGTCTAATGCAATCGAAAAAGAATAGCTATTCACGCATTAGTAAAATATCCCATCAAATGTTATAAACCGTGACTGTAACAATATATGAATACAAATGTGGAGTATTATTTGGCCAAGTTGAGAAATCCTTTTCGTCATCCATAAGTTAATGATTAACATAACACATGTCCTGACAGATGTTTTCTATTTTCTATGTGTATTAGGTACCTACTGCATTTTTTTTTCCAAGCTGAACTTCTTGGAACATTGTCTCCAAATCACTATAGACGGATTTCACGCCAACTCATCCAGTGGTTGGCAGCACCCTCTCAGAACCTTATGGAACTTTGTGGGTGTGGAGACTTAGCAATTTTAAGCAACTTTGCGTACTTATTTTTTTCAAAATTTATCTCGCCTAACATTTGATAAGGGTCAAAGTTTTTTGTCGATTTTTTTTTTCAAATCGATATAGCTTAAAAATGACAAGCTCTACAAAAAAGTGATGTATGGCGAACTTTTAGCAAATAATCTGAAATTTTATAAAAAAATTTAAATAAAATAAAAAATCGGTTTCTACACTCTAAAAAAATATATTTAAAAATTAAAAGTCATTTTCTCAAAAATGGTACCCCTCAGATTCGCTTGATATTTTTTCTCATGAAAGGCAATATAATTACCTAACTTTTCTTCATACATCGCAAAGTGACCTTTTGATAATCTGGGCGTGCTTAAAACAAAAATCTAGCCTAACATTTGATAGGGCCTAATACAGAGGATTTTCCTGCATTTCGAATGGTGTTTTAATAAATGAAAACTCTAGTGTTTTTGTTTAGTGCATAATTTATTTTCCTATAATTCTCCATACATAATTTGAGTTTTTCATTGATTATTAGTCTATCGGAAACAGAGTGAAATTTTTCGGAGTTTCCTTTGAATGTGAAAATCGCTTAGTAGAAATTATGTTTTGAGAAATAGGTACAAAACAATGAAATTTTTGTGTACCAGGTATAGTTTTTACATGACTTAATTTGTCATTTGTACTCGTAGAAGGCAAATTAAATTTCTCCTTTAACTGCATGATCATTTCGTCAAAATCATTTGATTTGTTGACATCGTCTGAATCCATCCCAAATATATTTTTACGCACTGCCTTTGTGATCTCTGCAGATTTTTGAACACGATAATTCATACTTCTCATACTTCTCGATGAAATTGGTGATAACTGTAAGGTTGAAGCTATACAATTGAATTGTTCCACATTATATGGACCTTGGATCTGATCCGCTGATGGGATTGATTCTAGCGATGGATCTGTATCTGTAAAATTAAAGAAAAGAAAAAAAAATATTACCACACGGCAGAAAGCCGTCAGGTCAGTGAGAAGACCGTACCAGGCAGTAAGCCGTCAGGTCAGGGAAGACCGTATCAGGCAGAAAGCCGTCAGGTCGAGGAAGACCGTCAAAAGGAACGTAGCTCTCGGGTCGAGGACGACCGATAAAGGCAAGAAGCCGCCAGACGGAAACTGGCCGGCCGACAGGATTCGTGGATGTCAATCGTATTGTTGGCCGTGTTTAAACGTAATTCGTCGATTTTGGAAAGGTGAATGCGTAAATAGTATTTACTAACAAACGAAAACCAAAAACAATTATTTTAAATTTTAGCGTTTTTATCAAATAATCAAAGATGGACAAATGGGACATACCGCAATTCAAGTTCAGATCGATTCCAAACAGTACCGTACGCGACGAATGGCAGAAATATAAACGGAATTTCGGTTTCATAGCGGCTGCCAATGGGGAAAAGGACAAAACCCGATTGAAAAATATTTTTTTGGCTAGAGCCGGCCCGGACGTGCAGGAAGTTTTCTCTTCAATACCAGGAGCTGACGTTGATGAAGACAAAGAAAAGAAGATCGATCCGTATCAAACGGCGATCGAGAAACTTGATGAATATTTTTCGCCCAAACGGCACGAAGCTTTCGAAAGGAATTCCTATTGGAATTTGAAGCCAATGGAGGATGAGTCTATAGAGAAGTTTTTGTGGCGTTCGCTTGAGGTGGCTCGAAAATGCAATTTCGGAAGTACCCTTGAGGAGAGTCGTAATATCGCTGTCGTTGACAAGATAATTCTGTTTGCTCCTCCGGAATTAAAGGAGAAACTGCTGCAAAAGGAGTCCTTGACACTAGACGATGTAACTCGAGTGGTCAGTTCGTATGAAGCAGTGAAATATCAATCACAGCAGATGAAAACAGCGTCATCGAGTACAGAACGTTCAGCACCTAGCTATTGGATGGATAATGGCACTAATGTCTGCAAGATTCAAGGTTCGTCGAAAAACCCAACCGGTGAATGTTACCGCTGTGGGCGTAAGAACCACTACGGAAATGATCCGAAGTGTCCAGCTAAAGATCAAAGGTGTAACAAATGTAACAGAATCGGCCATTTCTATAAACGGTGCAGAACAATCACACTTCCTCAGAAGCGAAGCGCGAATAACCCTATCGAATGGCGGGGAAAGAAACCGAAATCCCAAGGTATCATGCGAGTTCAGGACAGCGCACAGTGGGGAATGGCTGGCCATTAGACAAAATTGAAAAATTTGCATTTCTTCCTCCATTTTATTTTTTCTATCATTATATACTATTGACCCGTTCAAATCCAAAGTTTGAACGCCATACGAGAAAATTTGAATTTTTTATGCCTTTTTGAAGTTGGTCACTTTGAACTTTTTTCGCATTTTTTCGAAAAAAACGGCATTACTACTCAATCAACTGGAGGTTTAACGGTAGCTTGGATTATGGTGACGTCTGAGAGAAAGTTGTTTTAAAAACAATGCATAACAAATTTGTTTCATTAAAATTTGTAGAATCTTATTAAAGTAGGCCTAAATCTTTATTTGATTAAAAAAATAGTGATTTTTCCATATAAATGAAGCTTCAAAGTTATGAAGCCAGGGTTTGCCATGGTTGACACTAGTTGTAAAAGGTAGTTTAAAATGTAAGATTTCGAATGAGCATAACCTGATCTTGCGCAGACTTGCGCAGGATGCTGATAGTGCGAAATGAAAAGTGTTTGTACTCAGGTGGAATTCTACAATTTTAAATTAGAATCACGATCAGCAGATTGGTTGATTGCTCATTGCGCCTGTTTGAAAAAGCACTTAAACCATCACTTATGAAATGTTTTTTTTCCAATAAGGCCATCACAAATTCAATGTTGTCTTCTTATTGCTTAAAATTTTTCTGATTATATACTCATTCAAAGTTTCATATTTCTTGAACTAACTTGTTTGACATTCACGCATGTTTTTTCTATATTAATCGAGCATTATCAAAGTAACCCCAAATCAAAATATCAATGTTCGGTCAAAAGACTAAAAAAATAGTGCAAATACAATAATTTTCGTTAAACATGTTACTAACGAATGGACTCAAGGAACCTCAGTACTTGTTTAATCTAAAGGAAACGGACAAAAAAGAAAACAGATTAACGAAACGATGAAACATCAAGAATCGCTAGAACAGATGAAAGCAGCCGCGGAAAAATGCTTTCCTTCGAATGCGAAAAAGGAGTTTGAGATTTTTTGGAAAGCATTCAACAGGAAATTTCTAAAATCCCAACGGAAGCGCGACCGCTTTGAGAAGGATTAGTTAGAGGAATTTGCAATACCACCATCTGATGCACCTTGGCGGCTAGGAAAATCTGGAAAATCTTTTGAAGAATGCAGTGATCGATCGAAGCGGCGCCGTACTGAGGAAATTAGAGCAAAATATTCGTCAAATCAGTTAAGCTTTGCTGTGGAAATGAGTTTGCGTGCCGACCACAATTAAAAAGCAGCAAAGTTAATAAAACAGGCTATTGATCTCATCAACCAAACCACTCAAATCACACCTGAGAAGGCGTTGTCCATTTTAGTGATGGCAAAACTGACGAGATATAGTTACAACATTATTAGGGAACCAGTAAAAGACAGGTATTAAGTTTAAAATAAGGAGTTTGTATGTAAAATACAATGGTTTTATTATGTCAGGTACCCATCGTACTACCAAGTACAAAGAGCCAAAAAGGAATGTTATCCTCCGCAAAACGCATTTTTTGCATTGATCTCCAGGCTATTCTAAATAAAACCGCTGAAAGGTTACTGCTGCTGCTACACACTAAGATTTTTTTGCCGAGATGGGCACCACCGAGCAGCTCGGTATTTTGTTTTGCTGGATCTCAGTTAAAAACTTGCCGAGATTCTGCTAACAAACGGGAGTTTTGCCGACATCTCAGCTAACAAACAAAAATTTTGCTGAATCTCCGCAAGTTTTCACTGAGATTCAACAAAATAAAATGCCGAGCTGCTCGGTGGTGCCCATCTCGGCAAAAAATCTAAGTGTGTAGAAAGTACTTTTGAACCCCGATTGCAACATGGTAAGGAGTAGCATTTGACTTTGATTGCCAAGTGGGGTTGTGATGGTGCTTCGGGACTCACAGAGTACAAGCAAAAATTCCAAATCGATGTAAATAGAGATTCAATTTTTTTTTTCATCATTTGTTCCATTGCGGTTGCTAAATGATTGGAACATAGAGGACATTATATGGGATAATGATCGACCAGGATCATCATATTGGTGTAGACCGCTTCATTTACAATTTTGCGCAGAAACTGATGAAGTGATTCAAACCGAAGTTAGCCGTATCGAAAGCGAAATTAGTGCATTGAAACCTTATGAGGGGATGGTGAAGAGCAGCAAAATCGTCGTTTCGTTTTCTCTTTTCCTCACAATGATCGACGGAAAATGTGTCAATACTTTAACCAATACAAGTTCTGCCCAACGGTGTTATGCTTGTAAGGCAAAGATTTCGGAATTCAATGATATAGAAAAAATCCAAAACTTAGAAGTAAATGAAGACTATCTAAACTACGGAATCTCTTCGCTGCACGGTTGGATACGCTGCTTTGAGTGCATGATCCACATTGCCTATCACCTGAGTTTCAAACGCTGGAGAAAATCTGGATTTGAAACGCAGTTCGAGGCGAACAAGAAAATAATTCAGGCAAGCTTCAAGAGCAAAATGGGTCTGATTGTCGACAAACCGAAGCCAGGAGGATTTGGCAACAGCAATGACGGC